GTGTGCTAGTGTGCTAGTGTGCTAGTGTGCTAGTGGGCTAGTGGGCTAGTGGGCTAGTGGGCTAGTGGGCTAGTGGGCTAGTGGGCTAGTGGGCTAGTGGGCTAGTGGGCTAGTGGGCTAGTGGGCTAGTGGGCTAGTGGGCTAGTGGGCTAGTGGGCTAGTGGGCTAGTGGGCTAGTGGGCTAGTGTGCTAGTGTGCTAGTGTGCTAGTGTGCTGTGTGCTAGTGTGCTAGTGTGCTAGTGTGCGCCAGTCCACCCCTCGCCGTGCCGGTGTGCTGTGAGAGAGGCTGAGGCGGGTCTTCTACTCTTGTCCACCGACGCGTACAGCAGCCGCTCCGTGTACACAGGCCTAGAGAAGAGAAACACAGGTGAAAAGAAGCACACCGACGCGTACAGCAGCCGCTCCATGTGCACAGGCCTAGAGAAGAGAAACACAGGTAAAAAGAAACACACCGACGCGGACAGGAGCCGCTCCGTGGGCACAGGCCCCTTCTTGGTCTGGGTCCCTCCTGAGCCTGCGTGGGGGAAAGGGGGAGAGTGAGGCGTGTTGCGGTGCATACGCAAACATGAGGGCGGGAGTACGGCCTTGTGCAGTGTACTCAGAGCACCGCAGGATTACGAGGGAGGCGCATACAGCTGAATGCGGCCGAGTACGGCCGAAGTGTCCTCTCGAGCACTAGCTGAACACAAGACTGCGTCTTCCGCTTCTAGGCCTCGAGATACGGGGAGATATGGGAGATACGGGGAGATCTTCCGCTTCTAGGGTGGAAGGCCACGCGGCGGGGGCGAGATACGGGGAGCTTTGGGGAGATACGGGGAGATACGGGGAGATATGGGGAGATATGGGGAGATCTTCCGCGTCTGATGCTCCCGCGCCAAACGCGATGCCCGCGCCGGTGCTCGGGTTGAGGAAGATGGAGCCGAGCACCTGTCATTAGTTACTTAATAATTGGTTTGTTAATTAACAGGCGGGTTGAGGAAGATGGAGCCGAGCACCGAATGCGACTCTCGGCCGAGCGAGGCGGCCTACGGTGAATAATGATCACAATAACAACAACATCAACAACAATACTAACATAACGATTAGTCCGAGCGAGGCGGCGTAAGGCGAGGTAAGGGGTGATAGACTTCGCCAAACACACGCGGTGGAGGGGCAAGGGCCGGGCTAAGCCCTCGCGACTCCACGTCTAGACGACAGGAGCCGCACGGCATTCAAAGTGCAAGGGCCCGGTGCGCATGGGCGAGCGGTGTGTGCGAGGCGGCCTTGGTGAGCACGTCGTAGATGCCCGCTAGAGACCCCTGGTGTGTGTGTGTGTGTGTGTGTGTGTGTGTGTGTGTGTGTGTGTGTGTGTGTGTGTGTGTGTGTGTGTGTGTGTGTGTGTGTGGTGTACTGTGCAGGACCTTGGTAAGCACGTCGTAGATGCCTGCGCCAGCGAGGCACACGACACGCTCCCCGCCGTCGATTGGGATGATCGAGTTGAGCCGGCGCATGTTTAGCACGACAGTGGGCCTGTCCGGGTCATCTCGGGTCACCTCGGGTCGTCTCGGGTCATCTCGGGTCATCTCGGGTCATCTCGGGTCATCTCGGGTCATCTCGGGTCATCTCGGATGCTCTCGGATGCTCTCGGGCCATCTCGGCTGCTCTCGAATGATCTCGGGAGATCTGGGCCGATCTCGGGTGATCTCGAGTGATCTCGGGTGATCTGGGCCGATCTCGGGTGATCTCGAGTGATCTCGGGTGATCTGGGCTGATCTCGGCCGATCTCGCCTGTCAAGGGTGGAGCCCGCTCCGCGAGGCACTGACCTACGGTGGTGTGCATACGCCAGCATGAGGGTGTGCAGTCGGTGTTGTGCGATGTGTACTCAGAGCACCGCGAGAGCACGCGGGGCTGCGAATACAATGAACTCAGCGGACTACGGCCGAGTGCAGTCGAGTACATGCCCTCTCGAGCGCTAGCAGGGAGACAAGAAGACGCGTTCCGCTTCTAGAGACGCTGACCCGCCGGTGAGGCCAGTGTTTGCGCCCTGCGGGAGGACGCAGACGTCCGCGTCGACACAGGCCTGCATTACTCATTCATGACTCATTCTTAGGCACCTCGCGGACGAGGGCGGTACTCAGTTTTTAAGAAGTAGCGCATGATGAATTAAGACGCAGGCCTGCAGCACCTCGAGCGCCTCCTCGATCGTCCCCGGCTTGACCACGCAAAACGCCTTGCCCAGCCCGATCCGTGCGCCTGCGACAGAACTGGCGTCTGTTTTTTGGGAAGGGATTGCGCGAGAGCTACGCGATCCGAACTCTGCTCTCTCTCGTTCTGGCGCACCGTTTTGCTCGACGTCATGAGACACGTTTCCCGAGCCGACGATGCCCTCCAGCTTTGGTCTGAGCGCCTGCTGCGCGTCTGTCAGCGGCCGCGCGTCGCAGCACGCGCACGCGTTGAAGCCGGAAGGTAGCCTCCTGTTCCTTTGCTCGTTGTCGGTGGAGCCAGCCCAAAAGCCAACGGCGAGAGCACCCGCAGCCCACGGCAAGCTGCCGGCTGGCGGCCGGAAAGCGCGCGCGGTGGTCGACGATGCTGCCCTCGATGCGCCGAGCCAGCTGCGGGTGAAGCGGCGCATGGGGCACCCCACGGGCACCGCGACGAACGCGACCGTCGGCCGACGACAACAAGGCTAAAATGAGAAAAAGGCAAACCCGCTCGAAGTCCCCAGCCAGCCATGCTCGGGGGGGGCCTTTCGTTTTGCATCAATGCGAACTGACAGACGGATCCTGCCTCACAGTGTCCTCCATCACAGGGCTGACCGGCAAAGCGGTCAACGATCGGCACGGTGTGAAGACAGCCAGACATGTATCAATCAATCCAATGCTGACTGCAATCCAAGTGCTCCAAGTGCCCGTTAGCCGTTTCTCCCGCGCCCCCCGCGTTGCGTGAAAAATAAATAAAGAAAACGGACGCCTGTACTGTGAGATGGGTACAAACAAAAAAGGAGCAGGTCCCCGCCCGTGCGATCTTTGTGCATGCGTGAATATAAATAAATAAATAAAAACGGACACCTCTCTACTGTGAGATGGGTAAAAAGGAACAGGCCCCCGCCCTTGCGATCTTTGTGCAGGGTTCTTTGTGGGTGTGGTCGGCGACTAGCCGGGGTCGTCCTCCCGATGGGGGGCTAGCGCACTAGCCGTCTTCCACATGGTCCCTCGGGTCCCTGCTGCTCCTAATCTCTTCGTACATCCTCCTGCTGATCTCCGCAAAGTCCTGCTCCCTCCCTCGTCTCGCCCTGCGCGTCTGCTCCGCCTCACCGTCTTCTGCCCTGCGTCGTCTGGCGACGGGTCCTCCATAGTCGGTCGAGGTCGCCGCCCTCCTCGTGCCTCTTCCCAACGTTCCCTCGGCGGCCGATGCCGTCTGCTCCGGCTCCCCAGTCCCCGGCTCTGCCCTGCTCTCGTCTGCGCTAGTTTCTGCTTCGTCATCTATCACCGGCGTCTCTCCTCTTCCTTCTCCCCTTCTTTTGTTCTTAACGGAGTCGCTTAGGCGGCTCCGGTGGTGTGCCGGTGATAGTACTAGCACGCGCCAGTTCGCACCTGTGTCGAGCCTGTGTGCTGTGAGAGAGAGTTGTCTTCTTAAATTCTTTTGTGTATGCTTTGCACACATCGCGAATCGCGTCGATTCCTTTTCGCGTGAATATG